TCTTTCTTTCTTTCTTTCTTTCTTTCTTTCTTTCTTTCTTTCTTTCTTTCTTTCTTTCTTTCTTTCTTTCTTTCTTTCTTTCTTTCTTTCTTTCTTTCTCTTTCTTTCTTTCTTTCTTTCTTTCTTTCTTCTCTCTCTCTTTCTTTCTTTTTTCCCTCTCCTTCCCCCCCCAAAATAGGATAATGTCTTTCTTTTTGATCAGATCCTGCCCTGTAAATTTTTTCTCCCTCCTTCCTTGAGATGAATCTGATTCCGCTGAATTCTATAGCTGGTGTTGCCTGCAAGATCTCTTGAGGGCAGAGTGATTTAAAGTTCATATTTCAGTCCTTTATGAGTAACATTGTGACGCTTTGGTTTGTAAAATCTGTAATAGAATTTCCAACTTAGTTGAAACTTGAATCTAACGGGAAGTTTTTCAGAATATGTAGGTGAATGAGCATAAAAATAATATTGACTGGATTTATTTTTATTATCTGTGATTCCTTTCTGTGTTTATCTGATATGGTTTTCACTTCTAAAGATTTGGGTGCTATCTTGAGTTAATGGAATGTTTTATGTATAATCATTTGAGTTTGTTGCTGTGTTGTGTGGCTGAAGTGAAGCAAAACCAAGGAATTATGAAGTAAAGGCTTAGAAGGGGCTTTAGAGATTAGCTAATTCAACCAGATACTCTAATTATTATTCCACAAAAAAATTTGAAACTGTCTTCAAAAACCTTCACAGTTTTATTTTGAAGTATTGGTTATTGAATAATCCTTACCTTCAAATGTATTATGCTACTTGGCTTTGCCTTGCAGTGTGCAAGAGACTTTCCTTCGTATGTGTTGTAGTTGAGGGTCGTAATGGGAGATCTGAACAAGAGGATTTTAAGAAGTTAAAAAAAAACAGTATTGTTTCTTGCCCATCAGCATTTGCTTAGTAAAGCATTCTTCCTAGATATCCTCTCAGGTTAAGATATTTTCATTGCTCATCTCTGCTTGTGATTATGAGTAGAACTGAGGCATGGAAAACAACTGTATTTCCTGACTTCGAACTTTGGATTTGTATACTGTCTTGTTCAAGCTATAATATGGAAGCTAATGTCAAGGAATGGAAGTGGACCAGTGATTAATTCTTTTGAAAACATATAAACTTATCTTTAAGTGGTTAAAAAAAAAGAAAGAAAAGATAGACTGTCACTTAACATGACAGTACTTAAATTTTTGCATATTTTTGTTTTTTTAATAAAAATTTTAAAATATTCTTAAACCTGTGATTTTATTGGTGTAGAACAGTGGTGTCAAACTCAAATAGAAATAGGCCATTAAACCATACCCAGGACTCCTTGAGGGCCTCTTATTGACCTAAGAAACGGCATGTTAACGTTATGCAAATTCTGTTGTACTTGTATTTATTTTGTTCAATGTTTCCCAATTACCTTTTCATCCAGTTTGGGCTGTCCTCCAGATTGTTGCCAGGCAGTATATTTGACACCTCTGGCATAGAAAACTCTGGGTAAGGAAACTTCCTCTGTCAGTGCAGATAGGCAGGCACCTGTTCAACAACTTAGATTCTTAATAAGTTACCTGAAGCATTGAGAAATTGTGACTTAACTTGGGTACCATGCCACGATGTGTCATTTGCAGGATTTGAAGCTATTTTGACTGGCCAGCTTTTTTCATGAGGCTGAGGTAATTTCTCCCTCTTTAGTGGATGAGACTTGGTGTAGGAGTGGATATCATTTTGATGTTCTTGTAATGTAATACCAGTACAGCCATGGAAAGTTAAGGCCCACTATGTTCAGTGGATTAAGGGAGATACGAATTTTAGATAAGATAGCTTTTAGGGACTTTAGTGAAATGTAGACTCTAGTCAGGAGGGTATTTTATACAGAAAATGACAACTGAAGAACTGGGGGTGGGAGTGGATTTTTTTTTTTATTACTAACACCTTTATCTGTAATTAAGATGTAGTTTTGTGGTTATTATAGCTGAGGGGAGCAATAGGGAGCCTCAGACTCAGCCTGCTCACCCCATTTAAAATGCTAGGTAAATGCTGAATCTTTGGCTTCTACAATACTGATCAGTCTTTTCAGTTATTAGTTTCTTAACTGATTTTGAGATGAAAATTTTAATTCTCTAATACTTTAGATATATTAAAAAAGCTTGACAAGTACATTATGTTATTTTATACCACCTTGTTTAGGTCATTGTAATTTTTCTCTAGAAAGAACTGTTTTATTATTATTTTTTTAACCTCTGAATATTAGGGTCTATATTACTAGCTGTGACTGCATATCGAGTCTGTAAAACCAAATGAACAAAAGCAAGAAGCAGTTACACTTTGACCATGTATAAAAGGAAGGGCAAACACTTGTTTTTTTCCCTAATGTGTGACTCATTGAGTTATACTTGACTAATCAGTTTTTGGAAGACCCTATTAAGCCCAAAACAAAACAAAACAAAAAACAGCTAAAATTCTGCAACTTTCCAGCTGTAATTGCAACTTATAATCAAGTTTCAATTTTAATGATTTTTTTAAACCAAAATTAACTCTGTATTAAAATTTCATTACTAGCTTGACACTTAAATTCCAGTGTATTATGTGCCTTAGGTAAAAAAGTAACTGAATACCCATCATTTCTTAGACAAGGAAACATGCTGCATTTTGTTATATGATTATAAATATACTACTGTTTTAAATTGAAGGGAAAGGTGGTGATATAATTAGATTACTGTCACATTGAGCTAAATGCACTGTTGAAGTTAACAATAAATGGACAGAAAATATAAGGCAGCAAATTCGGCTTCAATTTAACTAGGAACTAATACTATGTTATAGTTATACTTTATATTTATCAGGCATCAGATGTGCCAGATTCCCAACTACTGGTCTATTTCAGTAAATACCATTCTTACTTGACTGCTTGGAGTTTGTGGGACAGTGAGAGGTGATTGGAAAAATACAGTGCTTTCCATATAGTAGTTCTGCTTTCATAGGCTCCCAGATTTAAATCTGGAAGGAACTTCAAAGGTCATCTGCTTCAGCCCTCCCAGAAACTGAGGCTGAGAGAGATTTCAGTGTCCTTGACTTTCTCAATACTCTTTGAGATGTACCACATACTTCTTTCACTGGATCTCAACACTGAGAGTCAGTGGGTGAGTGGGGAGAGGGGAATTTGCAGAAATTTGCACCGATATTTCAGTATTTCAGTACTTAAAGGGACTGTAATTTCGTTGGTATGGGTACTTCTTCTGCTGAAGCATGTCATAACTCCTGTAGATAGTCTTTGGAAATTGCTGTGTCAAAAAAAAAAATCACCAGAAAGCAAACAATTCTTTACTGTTCACATTTAGTCTAATGCACCCTCTTTCTTAATTTTTAAGTCTTTGTTAATTTCTCTGTCTATTGAAGCATAGGTGATAGTATGATCATTAAACTTCTAAATCAGGTTATTCAAATATAAGGAGTTACTACATGGATGCCTTTAGGGTTCTAGTTAAAAGTTTTTGATATGGTACTTGTAAATTCAATTTTAGTTTAAAGACAGGCTCTATAGGATATTTTTGACAGAGGATTGAGATGGAAAACTAACTCTGGAGATAGATTGACTTTTATTCTGAAATTTTAATAAAACATTTCAGATATTTTGAGGAATAGAAACTATAGAGACTGGACCTGAGATTCTATTGGATAGGGAGCTTCCGAGTAAGGAAATTTCCTCTACCTGCACAGTCAGGTAAACCCCTTTCTGCAATTTATAGTCTTAGAGAGGTGTCTAGGGCACTGTAAAAAGTTAGTTTATTTGCCCAGGGTCACATAGTTAGTATATGTCAGAGGCTGGACTCTTAAAACCACATATATTGTTGTAAAGAATACACTTTGCACACCTGAAGGTTCTCTGACTTACTTACAAACGTATAGGCCTTCAACAGAAGCAATGACACAAATGTTGTATATCAGATCTTACTACTACCAATATTGTGTGCTATATCTTTTCTAGGTCTTAGGCAGGATTAATAGGAACCTTGAATGAGATTTAGATTGTGAATTTTTGTATTTCTGTTCCAAAAGGAAATATCAGTAACCAGCTGTTGTGGAAAATCTGGTTCAGGTTTCAAAAGGTGTTTGGATATTTGATTACATAAAATAAAAAAAAAAATCTTTATTAGGATATTAAAACTCTGAACTGACCTGTCTAGAACCATGTATTCGCTAAGGAAACAGCACCCACTTTTTGATATCTGTCTAGGAAAGTAGTAAAGTGAAATTGCTAAGTTGTTTTTGAAATTACTAATAATTAGAATCCTGAGATGTAAAAACGTATTTCTTTTACTCTTTGGAACAACTCCTTGAACTCAGTGGCCCATCAGGGGGTTCAAGTGAAACCTTACATAGATGGATCAGCAA